GTTTTGATGTTATACGTTGCTTTTGTTATGGTCTCCAGTGTATCAACTGCAACAGAGATGTTTCCTCCAATCATCTTTAGTGCACGATTTAGAAGTAAGTCCTCTTGTTTGTGTCAAACGGAAACATTCATGGGTTCTTAACTCCCCTGTTAGTGTAAATGCATCAGCAGCAAAGAAGTTTGACAACACAGCAAGCACCCAGGCAAAATGATACAATGTGCAGTAGGTGATATGTGTCTCGAAGGTTTTGAGTTACTAAAGTTCATGTTAAAAATAAACATGAATTAAAATGGATTATTCTATTAAGCAAACATCCCCTCTAATCATACAAAGATCAAATATCTAATTCACAAACAATTAAGCCATAAAAAATCATCACACATCCACCACCTTTGATTGCCTATATTTGTTTTTTCGCAAAGTTATGGACTCTTAAGGGTAAAGTTCATGGGTAGTCTGTTTCATAACTCTAGAGAGCACAGTAAGCAGCCACCAACCAGACACAGTGCGGTAGGCGAATATGATTCTCAATTCTCAATTTCTCACCACCGGAAGTAAGAACAGACCATAATAAGCGTAACGTTCATGGGTGGTCTGTTTCATAGCACTACTACACAATTTGTTAAAAAAGAAAGAAAGGTATTTAGCATCACGGCGGAACAACTTTTAAAGGCCAACAACGACAACATGCTGCAACCACCAGAACTGGTATCACAACTCATAGGGAAAATCAAAAGATTTACTCTTAAATTAAGTAGTTACAACATCGAGCAATCGTCAAGCACATACACCATCACAAAAGTCACAGAACCTGATTCACAAAGCATTCAAACATTTGAGGACATTTCTTCAAAGATACAACTTATATGTATTTTTTCCAAGCCATTTCCATCAACATGCTAATAAATTTGCAATGCATAAAACAAATGGGCCAAAACTTGAAATTCAACCTGTTTGACCGACCTATGCCAAATTCTAATTATTCTTTACTTTTAAACTTTCTATTTGAAAATAAAAAATAGTGAAAGAAAAAAGACGACTACAATTCGCCATTTTCACATCACTTATTCGGGAATAAAACCATATAAATTCAAAAGGAACTGAAAATGTTGAGGATCGTTTTAATGTTTAAAATTACCAAATAGATTTTTATGTTTAGTTTTTTACTAACAAATACCAAACGATTCCCTATACAATACACTATAATTTGATCATTATGATGTCAAATAATTATAAAATATATATTTGAAATGATAAAAATTGGACTAATTGGGTTGGTCGAGGTTGAACCATTGAATAACTTTAAAATACATTATATTTTAGCCACTAAGATATAAAATAATAGCATAATATATATTATGCCAGAGAAAATAGCTTGTTTTAGAATGGCAAACCCATGATGTTCATTTGTTTTATGGTTAGCGGTTAGCCCATTAGATACCATGCATTAGTCTATTGTTAAATTTTTTATTTTTAACAATAAAAGGAGTATTATTTTTGCCTTTTCATATATATTTTATCACCACGGATAAATAAAAGGGTATAAAGAAAAAAATTGACACTCCTGGACTCGTTTAAATCCGCATGTGTATGGTAAGTTGGCCCGTTCCACAGAGGAAAGAGAAAAAAATTAACACTCCCTATTCTACCCTTCCTACAAACGCTCATGGAACAGGGAATTTGAAATGGGGGAAGAGTTTTTTCCACCCTGCTATTATATGTTTTTAATTTAAAAGGATACAACAAATGTACTTAGTGTGATTGGTTATGATCCTTGCCTGTCTTTAAAATGGTCATGGTTCAAATCCCAGTACATATCTTTTTAATGAATAAAAAAAAGTAATTGTGAAGACCAAAATGTCCTTCCTACTTTCACTCTCGTTGCAGGAAATTTGAAATGGGGCTCCCGTTTTTCCCTTCGGTGTATTATATTATGGGTAGACTAAATGAATCACATATGAAAAATTTCTAGTATATCATATTCGTTAGCGAAATTGGATGTACATATTTATAATTTTAAAAGGTTCTTGTTTATTGTAACTTGGTGGGTACGGCAATGGGTATAATAACCCAAATAGTTATGTAATTTAAGAGTACAAAGAACATTGAAATGCTTTTCTTGTTCTAGTTTTCAACATGAAGTTGAAAGTGCCCCTCCTGGAAGGGGATATCTTGCTCAAAAAGAAAATAAAACATTAAGTTGAAAATGACGAAGAAAGAAAACCCAAAAAGATTTTTGGGTTTTGAGGCAGTTGGGCATTGAGGACTGCTAGCCCTAGCTAACAACAACAAAAACACAATCACCCAACAAGAGCAAAGAAGGAATGAGGGCAGATGAGAGGAATGTCAGATGGAGAAAGATGCTGCAGGGTTGAGATATCGGGAAGAATTGGGCCATTATTCATCATGCATATATATGTTTGGTTAAAAGGCAAGAATGGTATATACAACCAATAATGTCAAACCAATAAAGCTTTGAAAGTGAAAAAAGAAAAGAATGAAAGAAGAATTGATTGATGGGTAGTACTCCAGTAATCATCAGCCATTTGATAAATTTGGCCTTTCTTTTGGCCTTATGAGTTGTGGCATGGCCATTCGTTTTGGTTTGTTGTCTTTTGTTGTATTGTTCTTGCTTTTGCCCTTATTCCTGATTCCCGGTTAAAGCAAGCAGCTTTTGATGAATCTTGACGAGTACCCATCCCATTTTCTGTTCCACTTACATTTATCTCACTTCTCCTGCTAACTATGTCCAGGACTTCATGTCTAAGCAGTGTGTTAAAACAGAACGAGAAATCGACAATACAACGATATTCTCATGACTTCCAGTCGACGACATATAATCTATCTTCGAGTCCTACTAATAAATTGAAAACCCTTTCTTTGTACATGGGATTTTATGCTGTTAACAGCTAAAACAGCCATAATTACTATTTAGGAGGGACGTCCATTGTCACCATTATTTCCACACTGCCAGTAGATGGTATTTGAGGTTACAATAATGCAACACAAAGTTGTAGAGAGACAGACAGAGAAGAGAGTTTCAATAGGATGAAATGAACCCCATTTTACGGCAAAGCATAGTAGTGCTTGTTGAGTGCACGAGTCAATTGCTATCTAATCTAATCTAATCTAATCCATATGCATTTATAGTGTTGGAGATAGGGCTGGCAATTTGGTCCAGTACTGTTTGGTTTTACCCGAAACCGGACCGTATAACCCGGACCGGACTGGGACCGGATAGCAAACAATCCAATCTCATATTCGGGCTTAGATTTGAGGTAAAAAAACCCGGATAAAGACCGGATAAGAGACCCCAACACTCAAATCCCCACAAACTCAATCTAAAATCAAAATCAAATTGGGACCGGACCGGATCAAGACCGGAGTGTATCCAATCCAATCTTTGGTCCTTATATTCCCGAAAAGACCGGACTGGGACCGGATCAATTTAATCCAATTTAACCGGACCGGACCGTATAGCCACCCCTAGTTGGAGACTTGAGAGAATAGGCACAAGGCAACCTTTTGGCTACTCTCTCCCATCCTCTTCTCAATTATCGACTTCTCATCTCAGCGCAAGAATTATGCAGCCCACTTGATAGGGACTAAAAAAAGATTTGTCAAACTGAATAAATTATTTATTCACTAATTCAACACCGACAGTGTAAGCATGGGGATAAGTTGTGTCATTTCAGAATTCATGTACAATTTTGATATTGAATTGGGTGCTTGAGACCCCGCTTCAACCATTGTAAAAAAAACCAATTTTACCTTAGAAACTCGATTTGGAAAATGCGGGAAAAGCTTTCTGAGATTGGTGACATGTTTTGGAGAGCACAATAGTAGAGAACTCCTAGCTAGTGAATAGGGATGGCAATAGGTCGGGTTGGGGCGGGTTTTGTCAAACCCAAACCCAAACCCATGGGTTTATCCGCCAAAAAAACCCGGGGTAAAACCCGTTGGGTTTGAGTTCCAAAAAAACCCGGGGTAAAACCCGTTGGGTTTGAAAAACTCAAACCCAACCCGCTGGGTATCCGCGGGTTCATGGGTACCCGTGGGTTTTTGTGGTAAAAATTTACAATAACAAATTTCTTTCAAAATAAAAGTTTAACATCAATTTTCTCATACAAATTAATCATACAAAAAACACCAATCTAGAGCATACAAACAAACCGCAAATGATCCATACAAATTGTTCAAATTAAAGATAAACATATATAAACAATAAGATTAATTGAAAGCTTCTTCCTCCTCAACTAAGTTTCTTCACTCTCCACTTCATAATATCAACTTCATTCTAAACAATTAGAAAGAACAAATTATATATGTCTCCACAAACATATAGAATATTAGTTGTTTAAGGAAGATATATTATTTAGAATATTAAATATACCGGGAAAGTAATTATATGTGTGTGGGCGGGTACCCATGGGGCGGGTTTACCTAAACCCAAACCCAACCTGACCCGGTGAATAGTGTAGCAGGTTTAAACCCGAACCCGGCCCAAAACCCGTCAACACAGGTTTTACCCGCGTTGACCGGGTTGGGTCGGGTGGGTACCCGTGGGTTCGGGTTTTGTTGCCATCCCTACTAGTGAATACTCAAAACGACTCTCTTTCTTACATAAAAAATAAAAAAAAAAACAGTTCAAAGAAATTTAAAAAATACGTATAGTAGTCAGCCATAGGTATTTGACTATTTTAGTATTTTCTGTCCAAAGAACGATAGATTCCACCATTTCAACACGCTGCAAAAAAGCTGACAAGAAGGAAAGCGAAACGACAAGCTATAAAACGACAAATGCTAGTGCAAAAACAGTGACTGCAATGCTCAGCCGAAGAACAGCTAATTCGGATTCATACTACAACGACTTTTCTTTCTGTATATGCAGAAATGGGAAGAGAACCTTTGAGGGGGAAGAAAAACAACACAGAGAAAAAAGATGTGTGACATACGTATGTATGCATGTAGTATATGTACGAACGTACGGCGTATTTCGTTCACAGGCGACACGTGTTGTAGATCTCGCCGCGCATCATGTCGATAGGCATATGCTCTGCGGTGTACCTCTCCGGGCCGAGATACATCCCTGTCTTCTCCAGAAGGGCAAGCCCTTCGTCTCGTCCAAATCGCGAAGCGTACAGTTTAAGGTACTCGATGTCCTGGTAATGGGATGAGGATAAGTGTTCAGTAGTTGACATTGGCTAAACAATTGGAGAAGGGAAAGGACGGGTGTTAGGAATTTGGCGGATACCTGCAGGCCGCTGAGAATTCGTTCGAGTCGAAGTGAAGCGACGGGGTCGTTGGAAGAGGAGAACACCTCTCCCGGGTAGTAGAGGACTCCGTCGCCCGGTGGCAAGCCACGCCTGAATCGTATCTGTTTGAATATGAACAGATCAGTTTTCGTTTGGGGTGGTAACAGGAGCTAGAGAAAAGGGGCATGGAGGAGGGGGTTTTTCAGTACCTCAGCACTAGGAGTGGAAGCCTTTTCGTAGCAGTTGGCGCCCCAGTAGAGGAACCCTGTCCCGCCTTCTTTCCATACGCGCCACATCACAGCGCGGTGCTGGGTGCCTCGCATTCCGAGGTGCCAGTTCGGATGAGGGTCAGAAGGCCCCATGCAGACGTACGTCCACCATTCCTGCAATATAAGGAAATGGAGCTAGTACTTGGTTACAACAGGGCAATGAACACGATACGCCGCCTTTTGATGCAATCGGATGGCACATTCCTCCAGTTGATCCAATGAGCAACTTCTACCCTAAAGAACTAGTTCTAAAAACTGGATCCATTTCACTTCAATTCTCGGCATTCCTACCATTTTTTCTTCTGGAAACACTCCACAACCTCGCGACCCATTAGTCATTTCACAAACAGAAAGTAGTCCCAAACAGAGAGGAGTTGAGCTAGTGATGGAATCATGAGGGGAAGGTGTGAGACTCTAAATTGATCATTACCTCACCGTTCTCTGGCTGCAACTCGGAGATAATATCCTTGACAAGATCCTCTCGATTGCCAAGAACCCACTCACTGGAAAAGAATTTAAAGAACATTTAGAAGAGGCACATGTCTGAATCAGAAATAATTTATAGGAAATGATCCTTGTACTAACCGGTCCCCCACCAAATAAGGAAGATGGCATAGGACTCAGAAGTATGCGCACTTTAAAACGAGAGATAATGTGTAAAGAAGCAATTTTCAGCAATACCTCGTGCAGTAAATCTGAGTGTGAGGACGGAGGAACTTTGGGACTTTCACAAAAGCCTCGAAAGGGGTAGGTGCAAGCGGTGCATCATTTGGTCCTATATGTCAGAGGAGAAAATAAGAAGATACCATGATGATCAGCTGATAATAAGCCATCCATGAAGAAAGTAGGACTGAGTAACAACAAACAGAGAGTTTAAGGTATGCTAGAAAAAATAATCCTAGGGGATCCAGCAATTGACGAATCTAGCAGAAATAAAATCTGCTCCTCTAACAATTTACTGTGGACAATTAGCAGCTGGAACATCCATTAAGTAGAGTTTCGAAGAAAATTCTAAACAATCATTTCATGACGCATATCAATCACAGTGAAGGGTCTGGTTCATACCACAATAATAAGTCGTCAAGATACGAGCATCAGGAGCATAAGTATGAACCTCACTGGCCAAATTCCGGACTGAATTGTATTGTTCCATGTTCAGTGGCTGCCACAAAGCATAGCATCACATGATTGGAAGAACATTGGAACAAGAGAGTCAAACTGAAATAGACATATCACCAACTCATACCTCATCCCACAAATAAAAGTAGGCCTTTTTCCAGTGAGATTTTGTCCTCAAGACCTCTACTTCTTTCTGCAAGTAATCCTTGGCAACATGATTACTGTTGTTGCCCAAAAAGAAAAAACGACCAGAACTTAATTAGCACATGCTAATATATTTCACAGAAGCGAGCATGAAACAAATGTATACCTGGAGACCGCTTGACTATATGGCACAGCATAAGCTGCTAATCTTGGATCAGATAAATACTCATCTGATTTAGGATGATCAGCTGCATGCAATCCAGGAGAGAATTTAGCAACCACAATGGTGTAAAAATATATATCTTTTTATTCCTTCTTCTTCAGGAATGTAAGATTTTATCAGAGATCATATTGTTTAATTAGTTACCTGGCCAGGGACAGGTATATGCCAAGACACGCATGCTTTCTCCCCATCGGCAGAAATATGGGCTGATCCTGAATTGAAGAAGCCACTCAAAGTGACGATCCAGTGCCTCAAACCATTCTTTACTTCCATGCTCGACACCAAAACGGTCCTCAATGACAGTATCAGATATCTAAAGTTCAGTCAAGGACAAAAAATATTTTGGCATTTCACCAATGGAGTTCTCTTTGGTTTAGCCATTTCACCATTATATAACACGAGAAGCCTCAAAAGTAAATACACGTTTTTATCAGCATGTAATGCTCACAAGAGAAGTAAATGAGTGGTGAATGTCAACTATCACTGTCAAATGGCTCTATTTGAATACTGTAGCTCATAGGTTTACTTAGTTTACAAAGGTTAAAGATGTGAATGCTAAACGAAAAACAGGAAATACAGTGCACCAGGCATGGGATGAGCTATCTTTCTATTTCAAATATGTTCACCAGAGTCAGCAACAAAGAAAAAGTTTCTACTCTCCTGTTTCAAGTAATTATCAATGGCCCTGATAAAAAATGATCATCATATCCCAACTTACTCCTGTAACCACTTGTACAGGCTAATGAAATGCACCATGGTATAGAATTATATGACTAAGAAATACAAAAGCAATGCTCACAGAAAACATAGGTAACCTTCTGAAGGTAAAATTAAGCACAACCTACGAACAAGAGAAGGATACACCAAATACTGCTGGAAGAGAAGGGGTCGCTGGAATTACAAAATCCCAGACAGTCAAGTTAAGCTTCACACGGATGGAGAGGTTTGAAACAGCATCTTCATCCATAATGTCAACTGATCCATTATCTGAAAAGAACTCAGAAAATGATGGAGATAGAAGAACTCTTCTTAGAGAAGTGGTCGCAGATTTCACTCTTTCTACCTAAAAAAGAATAGCAATAAGAATAACTAGCGACACTTCAGGGTTAAACAAGAATTGCATAATAAATGATAAATTATTTACCACTTCCTCCAGTGGTTTTCCATCAATGGGCTCCACAGTGTCAAGACAGTCTCTAAGTTCCGTAAACAGTTGATGCTTTTCAGCTCTACTCATGCTTTGTGATGGAGACCTGTAACAATCTATTATATATATTAGTCAACTTATGTTCAGTTTTACTACCTAGAAACAAACAGAATTATTGAATTGAACTACACCACCCATAAGTCCTGGTAGGAATTGGCATCAACTGTAAATATAAGCTAAATCAGAAATAGTAAGAGAAAAGGTTCTTACGTCGCCTCATTTTTCGTGGCTGTGACAATGACCTCCCCTTCATACTGACCAGTTGGCTGTTCAGCGGGAACATTTATGGAAATCCAAACTGCTGATGTTTCCCTGTAGGAAGAGGAATAGACAGAAAAGATAGATCAGTAATAGAATAATTTAGGTTCATAAACACTCCAACAATTAATAGGCAATATAGATGATAAAGGCATTACCCAGGAACTAAGCTTATCTGGCTGGTAGGATGATCTAGTGGCACAAGAGCATCTGGAACACCTAACACAGTAACCACTTTCCGCATTGTAATCGATTGTCCGACAACCAACCTGACCCCAAATAATGTAAGAGATATTAACAATACAAAATCAAGCCATAAGGTTTAACAGCATAGCTTCTGAAAGCTCACCGAGCACCAGAAGCTGATGATAAGTCTGTGCACTGAACCTGGACAACGCCCGCATTGCCCAAACTACTCCATGACACTTTGGGACGTAGAGCGACTTGGAAACTTTCCCTCTCATTTCTAGCTGCCAGCAGGTTCATCTTGCAACGGAAGGCTTCTTTTGTCAGTGGAGAGACAAAGCACAAAGAAACAACCAATTCCAAGCTTTAAAATTGATCTACAGTAACATAAGGAAACTTTCTGCATGAAAAACTCTTTTCCTTTGATTTTCCTACTAAGAAGACCTACATTCTCACGAATATGCATTTTGCAGACACAAAAGTGAAAGAGACTGATATACAGTGTAGACTTGGCACACACCATTAAGCGAAATTACTACTGTCATTCCAGTCAGCCAGTGACTATAGATAAATGTGCATGTAAGAAGATAACAAATTCGATTGCATTAGCTATTGTTGCTCGTACAAAAGTGCATTCACCCAAAGCCACAGCCCTATATCAAGTGAAGCTGCTAATTGCATATAGACGACAATCTCCCGCGCTAGGATAATAATGAGCTACAGTCAACAAAAGCTGACAAGCATGAAACTGCAAAACCAGAACAAGTTCCACGTTGCTCGTGACACTTACTGGCTCCAAACGTCTGGGCATGTCTTGAGGTCCAACGTTTGCAGTGCTTGGCATGCACCAGGTATGAACTAAATCTGATGTTGGAACCACTAAAGGGTCTATCGATCCTCTTAGTGAAGTTGAAGCTTCAACACCACCCTCCATCCATCCATATGCGGTCCCTCCACCAGCAACGCCTTCAACTGGTGGGACAACCATGTCCTGAGGACTCCCTCCTGAGAAGTCAATGTTCAATACAGCAAATAAGTCTTCATGAAAGCCAATTTCTCAAGCATAGTACAAATTCAGCAGCTAAAACATGATTGATTACCCCCAACGAATAGCAAACTGATCGATTCGCAAGTCCATGAAATTGACAATCACGCAAGGGAAATTTCAGCAATAGGGCACCATTTTTATCGAACTTCAAATAATTTTTCAGTGAATCAACTGAAGATGAAAGCATTCACCAATTCAAAAGAAGCAGATACAGAAAAAAGCCATCAAGTATAAGGTACCGCGAAGGGAGATTCAGAGCGAGACAATTAGCACGGAACAAAACTAACACAATTTGTTGCACGGCATGCCAAAGCTCTCACTGCGTCTACCAGCCGAATAGCTAATTTCATTTTCCCAGGAAACAAACAGCAACTAGGTCAATTTCTCTCTACAGCTAAAGTAACCGCCATAACCGCAGCGCGGTGAATTTTTCCGATTGGAAAGTGAAGAAACGAGCGGGAGAAGAAATGATAGTGCATACTGACCACCGGCACTAGTATCCATTTCGGGAGCGAAGGGGTGAGTTCCGGCGAGATTCTGATCACGATGATCGCGAAGTTGCTGCTACAGTCCAGTTCGAGTGGGCTTCCCGGCGGCGAACGCAGGGAGAGGAGCAAACGAGAGGAAAGAATCCGATGGGAGAAATGATCGGTTTCCCGGGGAGCGGAGAGAAGAGGTCGATTGTGCGCTTCTAAACTATTTACGATCGTGCCACTGCAAAATCCAAATACTTCGTTTCTTTATCCACTATTCTTTCCGTCTCTCGATGTCCGTATAAGACTACACGGCACCGGTGCTGAGAAATCTGGACCGTCAAATTAGTAGTGACTAGTGATCATTGATGAGTATTCATCAGCTAATTGACCCGGTCCAACCACCGGTTTTATCGACCGGTTAATTCATAGCAAGCTGATTGAGAATGAAATTTGTAAAATAATCAAAATTAAGTTTTGGAGGTTATCATTTCATCCTGAGATGTTAAGGTTTGTGATAATGGTATTGGTATTAGTTATACCATGAAAATTGTGTTATGTCAGTTAGTTAAGATTGTATGACTATTTCGAGCTATCATTCTAGAGTAGAACAGAGAGATCTCGATGTTTTGAGTTCTTATTTCACTAATTTATTAATTACTATCTATTTGAACCGGAACAAAGAGTTCCTAGCTAGCGTAAATGATTTCGAGTTAGTTTAGATAAGACCTTCTCATACAACACCAGTACAACAGTACTGTCACGACACATTAGAATATTGTTGGATCAGTACACGAAAATTTTGTAATAGGATCTTGGAATTTTGTAGAACAATACCCTTTTCATGCAAGGAAACAAAGAATTGACGGTTGATGGTTAGAAAAATGGAAAGATGATAAAAAACAATAAAATTGTGAGGTGGGGTTCTAGAATTAGGTCACACAATTTGCCCATCAGGGGTCGGCGCTCCCGCTTTAGAGCGGGTAAACGCGAATTTAAGGAAATTCAAACAAAATTCGCGAATTTTTGTTTGTCGGAGCGCGAATTTTCGTGAGAAATTCGTGAACTTAATTCATAGAATAAGAGGAGAATAGAAACTGTCGATGGTGATGACAATTGATTTGATGAAGGAGAAGGAATCGATGGCTGGTTGATGGAGAAAGCTGAAAACATGCCCAAGTCTCTCCATATAGAAGAGAATCAAGTAATTGGAGGAGATCTTGAACTTTGAGGCGATGGCTTATTGTCGGCACAAGAATTGCATATAGGGAGTCGGTGGAGCTCGCTTGGGTTTTCAAGACTGGGAAGTTTTATGAGACAGGGGAGATTTGTCGATAGGAAGAAGGTGCAGATCGCAGGATGTGAGGTAAGCTGAGTGAAATTTTGGAGAAGTGGGATGGAGAGAGGTAGATGTTGCTGATACGAGGAAGAAGGGAGCATAGGATAGCGTCGACAGCTTCAGAGTTGAGGGTAGATTGTTCGTTTAGGGTTTTGGAAGGCAACCAAATTTGGGCTCAATAGATACACTTTGTTTGGCCCATACAAAGTTTTAATTATCCGCAAACTTTTTGTGGGTTGTACTTAGCTTGTGCCTTGTTGTGGCCTGTGGGTGTGGTGTTGTGGGTGTTAATTATTAAGTAGGAAAATTTAGAATTTTTATGTTGAGTTTTTTTTATTTGATTTCATCTTTTCAGTTTTGGATAATTAAAGACATTGACGTAGGTTGTATCCATAGAACTTTAAATTAGTCTCGTTTTCTATGAGTAGTGGGAGTATTCTGTCAAAATTAGGTATTATTTAAAATAATATAATATTAACGCTCTGTCGATGCTTTAAATTTACCATTCTTTAATAATAACGCTTTTACGCTCTCGCTCTCGCTCCCGCTCCCGCTCCACGAATCGGTAAGCTAATTCTAGAATATCATTTGGGGAACCTTAGAGGTTGAGGAACGAGAAGAATATGTGCACTTTTATTACTTTATTTTATAAATAAAATTTAAAATAGAAAATGAATTTAAATAGTTTTTGACCCATAATTATCGACTATTTGTCAACAATCATTACTCAATTCTTTACAAGTTATAATTATTATCCTTTTCCCTTTCTATCTTTCGAAGAAAGAAAAAAAAATTAAAACAACGGACATAAGTCCATGCTCAAACGATCCCGTAAGGCGTAAACACGGGAGCGGATCGTGTCAGTAACTGATGGGTCAGTAACCCATCAGTAACCCATTCTCTGATCTCCACGTGTCAGTCCACTTTTTTATTTAAATTAAATGCGGAAGGGCAGTAAGGTAAAATGCACTTATCCCCTATTTATTGCTGATGCGCTAACTTTTGACCGACCACATCAGGACCTCCTTCTCTCTCATCGAAAAACCTTTAATTTTCCTTCTCTTAATCTTTAACGGACGATTTCTCACTCGTTTTAAGTCGAAATTTAATTTTTTTTTGCACAGTTAGATCAGATTAATTATGCTCTTCAAAATGATATCCACTTTGATATTTTTTTGACACAAAAGTTTTTTCCAGTTATTACCAGTCTATACCATATGGTATAGTGTGGTAATATCAATATATATTTCGTTACCACCCAATACCATATGGTATAGTGTGGTAATATCAATATATATTTCGTTACCACCCAATACCATATGGTATAGTGTGGTAATATCAATATATATTTCGTTACCACCCAATACCATATGGTATAGTGTGGTAATATCAATATATATTTCGTTACCACACAATACCATATGGTATAGAGTGGTAATATCAATATATATTTCGTTACCACGCAATACCATACATTACCATAGGGTATAGTGTGGTAATATCAATATATATTTCGTTACCACCCAATACCATATGGTATAGAGTCATAATATCAATATATATTATCTAAAAGGAAAAAAAACAAAAGGAGGGAGAGGGAAAAAAAAACTCTTCTTCTATTTTGTCTCATTTCCTCCGCAATCAAGAACACCAAACGCCAAAAAAGGGAGAAAGACCGAAATTGAGGCCAACAAGTTGATGAAGAGACAAAAAACGCAATGAAAGAGCGTGGCTGCAAATTTTCTTCGTCGATTATTGGAGAGAAAAAAACGAAAAAAGAAGAGAAGGAAGCAGAGAAAGAGAAATGATAGACTGAGAGAGAAAAAAGGAAGGGAGAAAGAGAAAAGAGATTTGCAGATAAATGATTCTCTCTCCTCCTTTGAAAAAGCAACCATTAAAAGTGGTCTCCTTTTTTTGAAAAAGCGGCCATTAAACTTGGAATATAAAAAAAATTCATAAACGGACAAAGATGTCCTTCTAGACCCCGCATTCAGTCCAGCCGCATGATTGATTCACCCCTAGATCTACGATCCTAAGGTGGTTACTCACCCTATCTCAAGCCCGTAAACACTAAACCCAATCGGAAACCGAAACATTGGCCCGGATTCTTCTCTATCAGTGCAACCCTAACATATATGAAATATCCTGGTTTAATTTACACAGGGAAGCCAATCGATTCCATGCCAAGTGATGGGTTTCTCGCACCTCCCTGAAGACATATTGTCGAAGATCGTCAAAGATCACCTGCACAGCTTCGACCAGCTCGTCCCCTTCTCCAACGTCTGCAGATCCTGGAGATCCGCCGCCCGCCGAGATCACCGCCTCCGTCTACCTTGCCTCCTCGTATCCCCATTCACCCACCAAGACTACCACGAGTTCAAGCCGCTCGCCCAATTCCCCGCCGCCCTCAGGCAGTAGCCGGAGCAGGAGGAGCAGTGGCGCGTCAGGATCCCGCTCGGTTTCCGCCACATCGTCCCCCGACGCGCGGCCGAGGCCGATTGGCGCGTGACCCTCGAAGACGAGTGGTACTACAGGCCGCGGAACAACCCCTGCGTCGCCACGAAACGCGGGTGGGTCCTCGTCATCCAGCCCAGAACCCGCGAACCGCTGCCCGAACCGGTCAAACCCTACCTCCTCAACCCGATCACCAGGGAGTTCATCACCCTCCCCCTCCTCCGCACCAAAGGCGGCGCCGCCATCACCCTGGGAGAAGTGAAAAGAGCCGTCATCACCTCCTCCCCCGACGACGACGGCGGCTGCCACGTCATCATCGCGTTCGGGCTCGGGGAGCTGGCCTGGTGCGAGGTCGCGGCCGGAGGGCAGGACTGGAAATTCACAAGCCTGTCTCGCCTCCATTGGATCGCGGACGCCACCCACTTCGGGGGCAAGCTCTACCTCGTGGACCACTACTCGGTCCACGTGTTCGATAACCTGCCAACCGGCCACGTCACCATCCCTTTCTCCCCAGCGATGCGCGACTTTCGCGCGTACGCCCACAAGACCTCCGCCTACCTGTCCCGCCTAAACGACGACCAGCTCCTCGTCGTGCTACGTCGTTTCAGGAGAGAGCCGGAAGAATGGTTCCACGATTTCCGGGCGTACAAGCTGCTGCCTAGTTGTGAGTGGGAGGAAGTGAGGAGCTTGGAGGGTCACGCACTGTTCCTGAGCTACTCACACGAGTCGATTTGCATCCGTGTTGCGCACGACTGCTGCACCGACGACGTCGTCGGCGTCAGAGAGGATCGTATCTACTTCGCGTTTTCTCACGACTACGGCTATGAAGGTTCGGATGATTATTATGACTCCGATGTGTCCCGCAATGACTGTGGCGTGTACAATCTTTCCGATCAAAGAATGGAGAGTTACGCTTGTCGGCCGCTTCGCGACCACGACTATTACTGGTTCCTCCCTGTGCCATGGTAATCAACTTAATCTTAGTTTCGATTTATGGGCTCGAAGATTGCACATGCTTGACATACATATATATCATCACGGGCTTAAATTAGGACAGCTATGAATATTGGAAGTTGCGATTGAGAATTTTAACACGTGAACATCATCAAGGACAAACATGTTTTTGACATAATGTCGCAAGAAATAGTTGATCTCAATAACTCGAGTTATTATGACCAACTGGTTTACGACATGGTATCAGGGTTGGTTTGACGAAGTAGTTCTCGTGCGTTCGAATCTCCGCGATCTTTAAAAGTTGCGATATATATCTAAGCAAAAGATATGTGACGGGTCGTCTGTGCATATTTCAAATGCATGAGTTGGCTTTTGTTTGAGCGCGAACGTGTATAAAGAAATTATGATTTAACATTCTTTTAACAACTTGAGTTATTGAGAGTTGAGACGAGCTGATTTATGACATTAATCACCTTACGATTTTGATGTGTTGTGTGTGAGTGGCAGGAATATCTCTAGAAAACACAAGACAATGGAGGAAGTATTTGGGTGGACATCAACCAAGAAGATTGGTAAGATTAACCGGAGCAAAAATGGAAATGTACCAGTCGTGGAGGAAGGGTGGACATTAGCCAAGACGAAGAGCCAAAAGAATCAGTATCATCAACATATCAGCGATAGTAAAAATAATAATGCTACAGCCTGCCGCCATGCCAACAAATTCCAAGCTTTATTTTTAGCAGAAGATGAAGATGAGAGCCATAGGAAGCTCTAGCTAGGGTTGATGGTTATCTTCTTGATTTGTTCATTCAACTGCTTTGTTATGCATAGCTCTGAAAGGATAGATTCATTGGAATTCTAAGTAGCTTCATTTGAGAGGAACAAAGAGAAGATAAGGTTGGAGCTACATGTGTAATCATAAAAAAAAAAAGATGGCAGACAGGCGGGCAATCCGAACCGAAATCGAAATAATGCTATTCGGTTCAGAATTCGAAAGGGAAATATGGATATTTTGGAAACCAAGGTTCTTTCAGCCGAACTGAATTTTCAAATTTCAGACCGAAAAACCGAACTACTATAATTGTAAGCTTCAAATGGTGGTTTTTTTTTTATGTTTGTAGTTGTTTTTAGACTTAAATATTTGAAATATTTTATGACTTATGTATTGAAAAGTTTGATTTTTCATTGATGATGCATATAATTGCATATTTATTGTTTATATTAGGGGTGAAAAATAATTTAGAAGTGAGAAAAAAGATGGCAGACAGGCACCTCAATCGGGGTGGGCAATCCGAACCGAAATCGAAATAATGCTATTCGGTTCAGAATTCGAAAGGGAAATATGGATATTTTGGAAACCAAGGTTCTTTCAGCCGAACTGAATTTTCAAATTTCAGACCGAAAAACCGAACTACTATAATTGTAAGCTTCAAATGGTGGTTTTTTTTTTATGTTTGTAGTTGTTTTTAGACTTAAATATTTGAAATATTTTATGACTTATGTATTGAAAAGTTTGATTTTTCATTGATGATGCATATAATTGCATATTTATTGTTTATATTAGGGGTGAAAAATAATTTAGAAGTGAGAAAATACAAGTAGCCTAAAAAATTCGGTTTTGTGTGAAAACCGAACCGAACTGAATTATAATTCGGTTCGAATTCGGTTTGGGATTTGGAAGAATTCGGGGACCCGGTATTCATAATTTCGGTTCGGTCAAAACCGAACCGACCGAATGCCCACCCCTAAGGCCTGAAAACTTTCATTGGCCTGTCCCACCCACCAACCTTATTTGTTTGGCTGGTTCAAATGTCAATTGACCATTATGACAGGTCCGGTCAGTTGAATTTTGCCTAGACCACTGATCCGCCTATTTTTTTTGTTGGGAATTATTACTGAATTATTGTTTATTACGGTTAATAATTGCCAATTTTAGAACTAACTTCCTAAAATCATAGCAAGGATACACAAATAAAAAGAGACAATCATTCAGCTGAAATACCTCAACTCATCATCATGATTAATAATATGGAACCCGGTTAGGCTAGTGTTCCACCAATCCAAACAACAATTAGGAGTTTAGCTACTCATAGTCATATGGAGAAAAACATGATTACAAAGAAGAAACAGAACATGTGGGAGATTCAGTCCAACCTTTTTGGTATTCTAGCTTCGAGAATCAGGTTTTCAACCATCTTCTCTGCCAGTTTCTTTCTAGAAGCAACAGTTTTGCATGTGTAGGTGAAGATGGCGGTGCAACTCCGCCAATCTGCTCTTTAGTCAGTCGACAACTCAAATCCTCCAGTTTGCGCTTTAGTCAGTCGGTTTTCACTTTTCACTGTCGATTTTGGCAGCGTGCAGAACTGAGCAATTCTTCCTCATACGACATCTGAATTTACTTCCTTTTGGTTCAACCCAAGGCAGCCAGACTCACTACCAATCGATTGTGGGTTTGAACTTCAAACATTGGTAATCACTTGCTCATCTTTGCTTCAAAAAGCTATCAAGTACCGCTACTGTTGTCATATACCATCTATTTATTCATTGTTGTCATGTATAATCAGGATGCCAGCCATGTGATGTGATCCAAGGGAACAAGGAAAATCAAGAAAGCAAAACGCTGAAACAAGAAGATCGTAACTACCCACAGACAGACTCCTGTTAGCTACTCTGCTGTAATAATCCTGACAGAGCCAGAGTCCTGACTAGGCAACTTTCTTTCCGTTCAAGTTAGCAATTATCAACTGATTGCAGAGTTCCATAACTTCAGGGCAAGCAAACTTGAGCAGGTAGAACATCCTCATCCATGATGGCTCCGTCAGGTACCGATCCCCCCGACAAACACCGTTCACGATCGCCTTGGCGCAGGTTCCTGGGGTTTCAGGCGGTATGAACTTCACAAAGGGCTGCCATTACACACCGATGAATTCATCAGAGCCATCACCACAGGCGAGTGACAACCTCGATAGATAGAAAAAAAAAGGTTACTTATTGGCTTTCTACTGTTGAGTTACCTCAGCTTGGACTTCTTCAGCTTCGGTCATTTCGGAAGTGATTAAACCAGGAGTGACGATGGTGATCCCGATTTCTGAACCGACTTCAACTCTCAGTCCCTCAAACAAGCTTATCATTGCCGACTTGCTCGCCTGTTACCAACCACAACATCCAAAAAATGGAGTAGTCAATTCTGTCACTGATCAAATGGAACATTCCAGAGTAGTGCTAGTACTTCACTTACACTGTAGAAACCCATCTTAGGGGAAGCCATACGCCCTGAAACAGAGGAAACTGCTACAATCTTTCCTCTGGTTTTCCTCAAATGCGGCACGGCGAATTGGGTACAATATGCAGCACCCCAGAAGTTGATGTTCTGTTGGAAGACAAGATCCTCAGGTCAGTTGTAGAACGCATTTAATAATGTCTGCCATTCAACAAATATATGAGTTCAATGAAGGAAAATTCAAGGGGATATATAGACTACCATAACGTTTTGAAACTCAGAAACAGGGGTGAATTCCTCAAACCAGGAGAGCTTGGTAATCCCAGCATTGTTCACCAAGTGATCCACTACAGCATTGAAGGACATATGATTCCACAATCCACACACACAAAATTTGGTAATAATCCACAAAAAAGGGAATCAAATTGCAGTATTCATGGCCGGCTACTACTTACATCTCCCAAAGTGATCAACAGTTTCCTGAATAAGCTTTCTGCAGTCCTCAAACTTGGAAACATCGGTCCTGATGAAGATGACATCGGGCGAACCCAACTGCCTGGCTTTCGCCGCGACACACTGGAGACGATCTTCTCTCCTGGCTGCTATGGCTAATCGTGCTCTTCTCCTCGCGTATTCGTACGTTAGGTGCTGCACAAATTGAGAAAACGTAACCCACATCACCCAAGTCAGCCCACATCACCAAAACTGCAATTTTTCTCAAAAAGGGACGAACGAACCTCGCCGATTCCAGATGAAGCGCCGGTGATCACCACGACTTTACCGGACACATTCTCGTACCATAACGATCGTTTGAGGACAAACTGAAAAGCCCTGAACGCAAATAACCAGGGTAACATCACAAATACCGTAAGCCAAACCAGAGGAGGTAATGCGATGTTCAGGATCCTCTGATACACATCCATGGTGGCGGCTCGATCGGCAGGTTCACCAAAGGAGAGCAAATTGAAGGGGAGAAGACAGAAAACAACAATTCGAGGAAATTATCCCATCTTATAATGGAGATAAAAACCCTCCGCGCAATTTGGAAGGACGGAATGTAGGGCGATGGAAATCAGCTCACGCAAAGACACTAGCCAGGTTGGAGGGTTTTCATTTCATTCTTTTATCGCCCCATCCGAGAAAGATGGCTGAAGGATTGTGTTTTCCCCAATAATATATGCATATGAAGGGAGATCAGAATTGAAAAGTTTGTTACGTGCAAGGGGTTTACTGAAAGAAGCCAATCGATGGAGATCGATCGAGTGGGGAAACGGAAAGAACAACATTTGGAATGACAAATGGATTCTTTATGGTAATCTGCTAGAGCGAAGGGTCCATGGTTAGGGTTGGCAACGGGGCGGATCGGGGACGGGTAGCTAGTTCCCGTTACCCATCCGTCAAGGCGGACGGATTTCCCCGTCCCCGTCCCCGTCCCTTTGTCGGGGCGCGTTTGGTTTCCGTCACCGTCCCCAGACGGATTCGGGTAAACCACGGATCACCACGGATCCTGAGTAAAATACAAAAAAAAAAAAAGGAAAAAACTAATAAAAAATCCCTGAAATTCAAACTTCAAAGTACCTTGATGTTCAAGGCACATAAATTCAAAACACAAAAGAGAAGATCTGGGGCTGTAACCCTCCCACCACCCAACACCCAGATCTTCATTGTTCAAACAATGAAACAAAAGTGATAGGTTGCAGCAACCAAACAAGCTGCTGCAACCAAAACCCACCACCCAAAACCCATATAACATGTTCTTCACTACACTAGTGTTCAAGTTCAAAACTCAAAAGGAAGAGATAAAAAAACAAAGGCAGACAGCCCCAATAACATCATCCATAAATCGAACTAAAACCTATACTAATAGCACACACGAGTTCCTTTGATCTTTTCTTCCAAAAAGTAAGCAACACTATGCTGCTTGAAACCAACTCAACACTCAACAGCAGCATTCATCCTTGAAAAATGAAAAGCAATCACTGCAAGAAACAGAGTAGCAACCACAGTTAGATAAGTGAAAGTCACGTTTAAATTGAACAAGTTAAAAGGCTCAAGTCTAGCTCAATACCTTGAACCTTTCATTGCATTGAACAAATCAGTCGTCTAGGGATATAGATGCTTCCTCATCACAAGTCCCCCCTGAACTGTAAGAATAAAAAATTACAGTTAGAGATTGAAACTATCAAACTAAGTACCAATCTAAATTGAACTAATTACCAGCTTCGTCTTGATCTTCAGTACTGGAATCTGAAATTGCTAGAGAAGAGAACACCCCTTCCATTGCCTCTACAGCAGCCTTCGATGATTCTGCAGATTGAAGAAAACAATGAAAAAGATAATTAATATTCAATCAAGTTAACATTTTAATGAAAAAGACAAGTAATTGCAGATTACCTTGTTGCATTTCCTCCATAATCCAACTTCTGGTACACATCATTGCCTCTATTGTATCATAGTGCAATCTACTCCGATGAGGGTCTATTAACCTCCCACCAGAGCTAAAAGCAGATTCAGAAGCCACTGATGTAATTGGTATGGCCAAGAAATCCCTTGCAATTGCTTGCAAAGTGGGGTACTTAAGGCCATTCAGTTTCCACCACATCAGTATATCAAAGTCAGGAGACCTTTTAGGAATCAGTTCCTCAAGAAGATAGTGATCCAGTTCAGTATGGACCAGAGTTGCTTTGCTTTTTTTCCTCCGACTCACAAACAGTTCAAAATCAAGATCATCATTTGCAGGAGTAGAAGAACTATCATAAGCAGTTGAAGAACCAGAATTGTTCCTCTCAGACTTGGTTTGGTAATCAAGCACCAAACCACAAATACATTGCTTAATCTTATCAGCCACCAAGTCAGTATTAGTACTGCCAAACTTAGCAGCATAATACTCAATCACATGCAACTTGTATCTAGGATCAAGAACCACTGACACAGCGAGAACCAAGTGTATATCATCCCAATACTTAGAAAATTTCTCCCACATACTCTCAGCCATAGCCGAGATAAGAGAATTGGTATCAGCACACCATTCCAACAATTTCAGTCTCAGATCACAAACCTTGGGGAAAAACAAATTAGCAGTGGGATACTTGCTGCCAGAAAACAGCTTTGTGATCTCACTGAAAATTTCTAGCTTATCAATGACCATAGCAGCAAACTCCCAGTGCATACTAGTAGGGACAGTGGTGTATTGACTATCCCACTGCCTCAAACGAGAGAAAACATCTCTATACACAATGGCTGTAGATAGCATATCATAGGTGGAGTTCCACCTAGTTGGACAATCAAGCACAAGTTGCTTCTCACAAGGCACTTTAAGCTGCTTAGCAGTTTCAAAGAAGGTTTGTACCCTCTTAGGAGTGGACTTCCAGTACACAACACTATCTCTAACCAATTCAATGCCATCTTTAATGACTTCCAACCCTTCTTTCACAATGAGATTCAAAACATGAGCAGAACATCTCATTTGAACCAGCACACCATCCAACAACAGATCATCAATAGCAAGTTTAGTTTTCATATGAGTAATCATGGCATCATTGGTGGTACAGTTATCCAAGGTAATCGAGGACAACTTTCTATCAAGATTCCAACCAAGCAAACACTTGAACAACCTATCTCCCAACCTCTTACTAGTATGAGGGGCAGGGACATAGATGAAACTCAACATCATGTTTTTAAGTTTCCAAGAATTGTCAATAAAATGACCAGTAACCGCCATATACCCCATCTTTTGGTTAGTTGCAGTCCACATATCAGTTGTGACTGCAACTCTACCAATATTACCATCTAAAACCTTCTGAAGCTTTGCCATCTCAGCCCCATATAAAGCAAATATGTCCCTCTTCACTGTATTTCTACAAGGGACAGTGAACTGGGGTTGCAAAGAACAACAGAAACGTTTAAACCCCACATGTTCAACAATGTTCAGGGGATACTCATGCACCATAATCATAGAGCACAATTCCTTCCTAGACACATCAGAATTGAATTGAGTAGCAGATAGGAGGGGTTTTCCAGTTGGTTTATAATCAGGACCAAGAACTCTCTGCCTACCATCATGTATCTTTCTTTGGGTGCAAGTTTTGTAATGGTTCCTCAAGTGGGAGGTTCCATTACTAGTATCACCACCTAAACGTTTTCGACAGTATTTACACTTGGCTTTAATCTCCCCATTAAACTTGACCCTCACAAAATGTGGCCAGACATCAGAAGTCAATTTACGATCTTCAGCCAGAATTATTTCAACATTTTCATTCCCAGAACCATTAGCATCATTCCCAGAACCATTACCATCATTCCCAAAACCATTAGCATCATTCCCAGAACCATTACCATTAACATTGCCATTACCATTACCATTACCATTACCATTACCGTTTTGATTAGAAGGCACAGTAGGATCATTCGCATTCAAAGCACAATTTTCAGTAGCACCATCCATCTACATAAACAATTAAATAATTGCATTCAATCAATCAACCAAAACTATAAACTACCCAGACAAATCACACAACACACAATACAAATTACAATCGACTAAATCGAGAGTTGAATTGGACCAATAAAAAAGGAAAGTCTTCGATTGGAAGTTACCTGTAATCTGGAGAGGGACTGAGGGAGACTCTGTTCACCAGACTGCAGATGGTGAGCACTGAGCTGATGCCTCGAATGATAGACACAGCTGATGCCTCGAATGCGAAGCTAAACAACTCCCAAACAAAGCCAAAAAAACAAAAGAAAATTAGCATGCATGCATCGAATGATAGACACAGCTCATGAATCTGGAAAAATAATGGGTTAAGTTTGTGCTTACCTCGACTGTGCTCTGAGCAGAGTGCACAGTAGGGAGAAGGCTGACCAGTGACCTGAAATTAATCGAGGGGTTGATTTATATACGAGAAGAAGGAAGAAGGCAAGAAAGTTGCAGCAGAATACGAAAGAAAAAGGGGAAGAAGGAACTTATCTCGCTTGATGTGCGATATCACGTCGATTTCCCCCAATAGCTGCAAATCGAAGATTGCAGCGGGCAATTTAGGGCTCTGCATGCTGTTTCCCGACGAAATCGCCGGCAAAACTAGCATCCAATTGGCCAAATTGAGAGATAATGATTGCCAGTAGGCAATCATAATTGTATAAAGAAGCTGGATTGGGAGGAAATCGTGGGGAACAGAGAGATTTTTGAGCGGATTAGATGTTTGGAGATTCGATGGAGAGAAAGAAGCTAGGGTTTCGGGAGGTTCTCGAAGAGGAAGTTGAGAGGATTAGAGGAATGGGAGCAGTCGTTTGGGACGGCGGAGAGTGGAAAATGAGAGATTAGGGTTTGCTGGGCTCGTTTTGTGGATTATATACGATGTCTAAGCGACGTCGTTTTATGATTCGGGGCGGGGGCGGGGCGGATACCACTAATACCGTCCCCACCCATCGCCCGCGACCCACGGGTTTCGGGTAAATCCGAATCCGCCTATAACCCACAACGGACGGTTTTTTAGGGTATAATTCGGGCGGGTTTCGGGTGGATACCCGCTGGGTCGGTCAGGGTTGCCAACCCTATCCATGGTGCAAAATGATAAAAGTATAGCTAGTCGTATCTATCGAGTTTATGACCTCAAAATTAGTCAGGTTACGAGTTGAGATAGATCGTGAGTCTCACAAGCTGAATGAAAATTAGCTCAAATTCAGCTCGTTAGTAAATAAGCTGACCAAGTTTAGAATGAGTTTTTTTTTTCCGAGTTGAGCACCGAGCTGCACGAGAGCAATTTGTCTCATTTGCAACCCTAGATAGAGCAGCTCAACAATTTCAATGTATGTATTAAGCATTAATTTGGATGTTAAGATTCTAATTTAGCGGTTCTATGAAAATGTATGCGTTTGTGGTAATTGATCGTTCTTTTTTTCTTATTGTTTGCCTATCATAGCTTCGTTTTCCTATTAAAACGGTTTAGAATTCATGAGAGAGAAGAGATCTAAAATCATAATAAATCACAAGAACAATTGGTGCTAAAATCTTAGCAACACACTATAAGAAAAATAAATTTCTTAGCAACACGATGGGATTCTGATCATTAGCCTAATGCAAGGTTGTTAAACCCCTATTGAACCTCCCATGGGATCCAGTCCGACCAAAATCTGGACTAATGCTCCCAGCCTGACCCCTAGAAAGGGAGAAGTAGAGATAAAGAAAAGAGGAGAGAGAGAAGGGAGACGATGTGCATGTCATGGGGGTTAGGTAAGGTTTCTATTGTGAGAGTTGAGTTTTTAATAGATACATGTAACTTAAAATTCAACTCAGTCATTAAAACTTTAAATTACTACCTTGGACTA